CCTGCCTCCGCCTCCCAAGTAGCTGGGACCACAGGCGCCCGCCACAGAGCCCGGCTATTTTTTGGTTGCAGCCGTCATTGTTGTTTGGAGGGTCCGGGCTGGGGATTCGAACCTGCCACCTTAGGTGTACGTGGCTGGCGCCTTAGCCGGTTGAGCTATAGGCACCAAGCCACCCTGGCTATTAAGAGACAAAGGCTCACTCTGCCTCAGGCTGATCTGGAACCTGTGAGCTCAGGCAGTCCACCTTCCTCAGCCTCCCAGAGTCCTAGGATTACAGGCATGAGCCACTACACCAGGCCTAAGATAGCTCCTCTTGATCACCCCACCCCTAGCATCCTCCAACAGCTTGTGATTCTTTCCTCTCATTCCTGGACTAGGGAAGAGGCCACAGTTAAACTGTAAAGATCACACACTAAAAAATGGGTTCAGCTTGCAAGTCCACCATTCAGCAGCTAAAAACAGCACCAATGCTATTGTAACAAAGTTTTATATAGACTTGGCACCAGTATCTCAGTGGTTAGGGTACCAGCCACATAGGGTCTGGCACCCCAGCCTGGGCCTGCTAAACAATGACAACTACAACAAAAAAAACAGCGTTGTGGCAGGGGCATGTAATCCCAGTTATGTGAGAGAGACTGAGGCAAGACAATTGCTTAAGCCCAAGAGTTTGAGGTTGCTGTGGCTGAAGATGCCACGACATTCTTCATAGCAAGGGTGACATACTGAGACTATCTCAAAAAAAAAAAAAAAAAAAGTTTTATTTAGTGTTCTGACTTTCATGGCGTCGTCACACAGCTTGCAGCAACTTCCAACTCCTAGGCTTAGGTTATTCTCTTGCCTCATAGCTAGAACTACAGGAGCCTGCCCCAATGCCCAGCTATTTTTTTGTTGCAGTTTGGCAGGGACTGGGTTTGAACCTGCCACCCTCCATATATGTTGCTGTGCCCTACCCACTGAGCCACAGGTGCCATCCCTAACTTAATTTTTTTTTTTTGAGACAGAGCCTCAAACTGTTGCCCTGAGTAGAATGCTGTGACATCACTGCTCACAGCAACCTCCAACTCCTGGGCTTAAGTAATTCTCTTGCCTCAGCCTCCCAAGTAGCTGGGACTACAGGCGCCTGCCAGAATGCCCAGCTATTTTTTGGTTGTAGTAGTTGTCACTGTTTTTTTTTTTTTTCTTTTTTGTAGAGACAGTTTCACTTTATCACTCTCGGTAGAGTGTCGTGGCATCACACAGCTCACAGCAACCTCCAACTCCTGGGCTGGGGCGATTCCCTTGCCTCAGCCTCCCAAGTAGCTGGGACTACCGGCGCCCACCACAATGCCTGGCTATTTTTTTATTGCTGTTCAGCCAGGGCCCCGTTTGAACCTGCCACCCTCAGTATATGGGGCCGGGGCCCCGCCCACTGAACCACAGACACTCCCCGTAGTTGTCATTGTTTGACAGGCCCAGGTTGGATTCGAACCTGCCAGCTCTGGTGTATGTGGTTGGCGCCTTAGCCACTTGAGCTACAGGCACTGAGCCTGACTTTATTTATTTTTTTTGAGACAGCCTCAAGCTGTCCCCCTGCGTAGAGTGCAATTACATCACAGCTCACAGCAACCTCCAACTCCTAGGCTCAAGCGAGTCTTCTGCCTCAGCCTTCCAAGCAGCTGGGACTATAGGCACCCAATACAACGCCCAGCTATTTTTTGGTTGCAGCCATCATTGTTTTTTTTGGTGGGCCGGGGCTGGATTCAAACCTGCCACCTTTGGTGCATGTGGCTGGCGCCTTAGCCACTTGAGCCACAGGCGCTGAGCCCTGACTTTATTTTTTTTTATTTATTTATTTTTGTGGTTTTTGGCCGGGACTAGGTATGAACCTGCCACCTCTGACATATGGGGTTGGCGCCTTACTCCTTTGAGCCACAGGCACTACTTTATTTTTTGTAAGAGCAACCTTTTTCTGCAATCTTTCCTGGGAACCACAGGATATAAAATAAAAGGGGAGTGACTTGGTTGATTTGGCTGTGACCCCATTTTTTCTCATCCCATTAGTGGTGTGGATTCAGAGAATGGAAACCATTTCACATTTCTAAGTTATCTTTTTTTTTTGTAGACACAGAGTTTCACTTTATCAACCTCTGTAGAGTGCTGTGGCACCACAGTTCATAGCAACCTCCATCTACTGGGCTTAGGCGATTGATTCTCTTGCCTCAGCCTCCTGAGTAGCTGGGGCTACAGGCACTGGCCACAATGCCCGGCTACTTTTTGTTGTTGTTGCAGTTTGGCCCGGGCTGGGTTTGAACCCGCCACCCTGGGTATAGGGGGCCGGCGCCCTACGGACTGACCCACAGGCGCCGCCCTAAGTTAATCTTTTTAACAATTCTCAAGACAGTTAAGGGGTCCTCAAACTTTTTAAACAGGGCCAGTTCACTGTCCCTGAGACCGTTGGAGGGCTGGACTGCGAGCGGCAGGACGATTTGGCTGCTAAAGCAGAACAGGCAGTGGAGGCAAAAACACCCGGCGGGCTGGATGTGGCCCGCTGGCTGTAGTTTGAGGACGCCTAGGAGACCTTTCATAGAATACGGCTGAGGTTTTTGTAACATGCAGAAGTTGAACTAAGATCTGACTCAAAGCAAGCTCCTTTGGCCACTCCTAAGTCAGGCTCTAAGCTTGTTTAACCAGAGCCACAGAAGCATTAAGGCCTATGCCCTCCAATCTTGCTCAAAGGACAAGAGCCTTAAGTGTCCTTTACAGGCAGCCACTGCTACAAGACTGTGCAGGATAGTTCTGATCTCGAGAATATTTTTTGGCTCAGTGCCTGTGGCTCAAGTGGCTAAGGCGCCAGCCACATACACCTAAGGTGACGGGTTCGAATCCAGCCCAAGCCCGCCAAAACAATGACGGCTGCAACCAAAAAATAGCCGGGTGTTGTGGCGGGCGCCTGTGTCCCAGCTACTTGGGAGGCTGAGGCAGGAGACTCGCTTGAGCCCAGGAGTTGGAGGTTGCTGTGAGCTGTGATGCCACAACACTCTACCCTGGGGGATAGCTTGAGACTTGGTCTCAAAAATTTTTTTTTCTTGGGCTGGGTGCACGTAGCACATTAAGGCACCAGCCACAAACACCGAGAGTGGCGCGTTGGGATCCGGCCCAGGCCACCTAAACAACAATGACAACTGCGCTGTGTTGGGCGCCTGTAGTCCCTGTTACTTGGGAAGCTGAGGCAAGAGAATTACTTAAGCCCAAGAGCTGGAGGTTACTGTGAGCTGTGACGCCACAGCACTCTTCCGAGGGTGGCATAGTGAGACTCTGTCTCAAAAATAAAATCAAATAAATAATACATTTCTTGGTTATCCCCGGAAGTACACTCAAATTTAGACCACGTGATCTATTTTGAAAATGTAACTTCATCCTCTCCAGAGGGATGGAACCGGCAATAGGCAGACTGCGTGCCATTTGGGTATCTAAGCATTGGTAGGCGTCCGAATGGAGAGCTCACTCTGTGGATGGAGGAACATAATTTATTGGTTCCTTCAATTCTCCACAGCCGACCCCAGTCTCGCCCCCGGCCCGTGACCCGGAGGGTTTGGGAGAACGTGCTCACCGGGCGGCAAGTCTCTGGGTCCCGCAGAGTGCTAAGCACGACATCCCCGGTCCGGGGATGAAGAGAAGGCCACCTCGGTCAAGTGAGCACTAGCTAAGGTCCCAGCGCCCACGGGGGTAAGTCTGGTCTCACGCTGACCTCTGGCCTCCACCAAGTCTCCAGTCCTTCCTCCAGGCCACATTTTCCTGCGTGGCCGCCGCCTGCTGCAGAGTAGCTAGCACTAACTCCTGGGTCCTGACCGCCTCGTCCCTGCGCTGCGGGTTCTGCTCCGGCATCTCCTGAGGTCGGCAAGGGAGATTTGCAGTCTGAGCCCCCAGCCCAGGGTTCTCTGCCCGCCTACTCCACCTTCCGTTTTCCAGACGCTCCTACCTTCAGCATCTCCTGCTTCTGCAGTTCTCCTGGAGTCACCAGAGCAAAGAGTGCGGAGCCCACGCCAGTCCCCGCACCCAACAACGCGACCGCGACCAGCATCTTCCGCAGGGCTCCCATGGCCCCGCGCAACCCGCAGGACGCCCCACTGCAGTCTTCCGCAGGCTAGATAGGCAGCCGCAGACGTCTTCCGTCCCCTGTGCAGGATAGAGCGGGCCAGAGCGGGAACCATAGAGAAGAGGTCGGGCTAGAGGGGACCTGATGGGCTAATCGCTTAGGATCCTGAACGCCTGGATCTTAATAGGTTTTTGTTTTGTTGTAGAGACAGTATCACTTTATCACCCCAGTAGAGTGCCGTGGCATCACACAGCCCACAGCAACCTCCAACTCCTGGCTTTACGCGATTCTCTTTTCTCAGCCCCCCGAGTAGCTGGGACTACAGGCGTCTGCCGCAACGCCCGGCTATTTTCCTGTTGCAGCTTGTCTGGCGCCGGTTTGAACCCGCCACTCTCGGTATATGGGGCCAGCGCCCTACCCACTGAGCCACAGGCGCCGCCCGGTTTAACACCATGAGTTTGAGCGTGTCAAAACAAGATATTAGCGCGTAAGTCTGGCGCGGAGGGCTTTCTCGTCAGATGCGGAGTGGGACTGCTAGTAGGAAAACTACGTGTCTTCATGGTTGCAGTGTTTTACAAAACTGTCCAGGTTTCGGCCTTTGGAAATTTCCCAGTTAGTAGAGGACTAAGCTTTGCTCTGCGATTGCCTAAACTGAATGGTTTTTTTTTTTTTTTGCGGTTTTTTTTTTTTGGCCGGGTCTGGGTTTAAACCCGCCACCTCTGGCATATGAGGCTGGCGCCTTACTCCTTTGAGCCACAGGCGCCGCCCAACTGAATGTTTTGAACACAGCACATACTAGTCAGATACTTACACACATCAGTCAGACCCCTTTGAGTACCTTCAACTCTGGAACAAAAACTCAAAGCCAAGTGTATTAGGTGCGAAATATAATCCGTTGCCCCTTTCCTGCCTCACCTGCCCAAGTACTTGGGGCTGCAGAAACACGCCACCACGCACAACTAAGTAAAAAGTTGGGTATCTTTTCTTCTCTCTCTCTCTCTCTCTCTCTCTTTTTTTTTGTTTCCGACAGAGTCTGTATCACCCTTGATAGAGTACCGTGGCGTTACAGCTCACAGTAAACTCTTGGGCTTAAGTAATTCTCTTGTCTCAGCCTCCCAAGTAGCTGGGACTACAGGCACCCAAAACAACGCCCGGCTATGTTTTATTGGAGGTGTTGAGGCAAGAAAGTAAAAGCAGAACTAAAAGAATCTATCTTAGCCGCTCTGTGTAGGCCTCAGCCAAGCTGCAGGCATTTCTGCTGTCTGCGCGCTTCTCCACTGACATACAGGGCCTAGATTGTAACCTAGTAACTTCCTTGGGTTTCTGTTGCCTTTGGGGCAGGTGGTCCAACTGATCTCAAGGTTGCGAGTGAATCTGACCTTCCCCCTTGAGCCCAGGACCTTGAGGATGATGTCATGTCTCTGTCTTATGACCCTCACGTGCACTCCTACCCTGAAAGGTGGATAAAAGAGAGGCAAGAAATTGAGTCAGGGGGCTCGGTTTTGGGACGCTGGAGTTCCGAGTACCCCCAGGGGAATAAACCCGCTTCCTCTAATCAGCTGGTGCCTGGAGTCTTCTGTCTGTGTCGGTTTCCTGCTACAGTGTCATTGTTGTTTAGCTGGCCCAGGCCAGATTCAAACCAACAACCTTGGTGTATGTGGCTGGCACCATAACCGCTGTGCTACAGGCACCAAACCAAAGTTGGGTTTTTTTGTTTGTTTTTTAGAGACTGGTCTTGGCATGTTGCCTAAAGCTGGTGTCAACTCTTGGTCTCAAGAAGTCCTCCAGCCTTGGCCACTTAAAGAGCTAGTATTACAGGTGTGAGCCACTATGCCCAGCTTCTTTTTTCTTTTCTTTTCTATTTTTTGAGACAGAGTCTCAAGCTGTCGCTTTAGGTAGAATGCTGTGGGGTCATAGTTAGGTTGACCAGATTTTAACATCGGTAAGACGGGCCGGGGGCAGGGGCGAGGCCAGGGCGGGGGAAGGGAAAGGGCAGGGCCTGACAACAATGCAAACTTTGATAAGCAGTTCTTTTTTTTTTTTTTTTTTTTTGCAGAGACAGTCTCACTTTTTCGCCCTTGGTAGAGTGCAGCGGAGTCGCTCCAGCAACTTCCAAGTCCTGGGCTTAGGCGATTCTTCTGCCTCAGCCTCCCAAGTAGCTGGGACTACAGGTGCCCGCCACAACGCCCGGCTATTTTTTGTTGCAGTTTGGCTGGGGCTGGGTTTGAACCCACCACCCTCGGTATATGGGGCCGGCGCCCTAGTTACTGAGCCACAGGCGCCTCCCGATAAGCAGTTCTCAATAATCACTTCTCAGCAATATTTGTTATTATTACAGTTTAACATTATAAAATTAACAAAAATAATATAAAACTCATATTCTGGTGAAATAGCCACATGGCAGCCGAAAACCATATATTCCCTTCTTGTTCTCCCACCCGTTCGTGTATTCTTTCCAAAAATCAGGACTTTTTTAGAACACCGTGGGACACGGGACAAATTGTTGAAAAGCGGGACTATCCTGCCAAAAGCGGGACGTCTGGTCACCATAGTCATAGTTCACAGCAACCTCCAACTCCAAACTATCCTCCTATCTCAGTGTTTCTATTTTTTTGTCAATACAGGGGTCTTGCTTTTTTGCAAGTCTTTTTTGCAGTCTGGTCTCGAACTTGTAAGATCAAGCAATCCACCCACCTCAGCCTCCCCAGAGTGCTAGGATTACAGGAGTGAGCTACCGTGCCCGGCCCACTTTTTCTTTCTTTTTTTTTAAATTCAGTTTTTCGGTAGAGCCAGGTTTGAACCCACCACCTCCAGTATAGGGGGCTAGCGCCCTACTCCTTGGAGCCTCCTCTTAGTTTTTCTATTTTAGTGGAAACAGGGTCTTGCTTTTGCACAGGCTGGTGTTGAACTCGTGAACTCAAACAATCCACCCACCTTGGGCTCACAGAGTGCTAGGATTAAAGGTATGAGCCACTGTGACCAGCCCTTATTTTCTTTCTTTTTTTTTTTGTAGTTTTTGGCCAGGGCTGGGTTTGAACCCGCCACCTCTGGCATATGGGGCCAGTGCTCACAGTTGCCGCCTCTTTATTTTCTTTATTTTACAAATAATCCATTACTTTTCTTGTCATGGTATACCCTTGGCATTGGTTTTTGTATTGTTTTGTTTTTTAACACTGAAAACTTTGGATTTTGTGTAATATACAGAATTCTGGTTTGGAGAAGAAAGTACCCCTTAGATGTATTACTGACTTTAGGCAAGTAATTTCTTTTTTTTTGAGACAGAGCCTCAAGCTGTCCCCCTGGGTAGAGTGCCATGGCATCACAGCCAGCAACCTCCAACTCCTGGGCTCAAGCGAGTCTCCTGCCTCAGCCTCCCAAGTAGCTGGGATCACAGGCACCTGCCACAACGCCTGGCTATTTTTTTGGTTGCAGCCACCATTGTTTGGCGGGTCTGGGCTGGATTCGAACCCGCCACCTTAGGTGTATGTGGCTGGCGCCTTAGCCCCTTGAGCCACAGGCGCCGAGCCAGGCAAGTAATTTCTTTGTGCCCCAGGCCTGGCCCAGTGGCTCACTCTGTAATCCTTGCACTCCTAGAGGACGAGACCAGAGGATCTCTTGAGCTGAGTGAGAGACCAGCCAGAGCAAGATCAAGAGGAGACCTGTCTCTACTAAAAATAGAAAAATTTGCCAGGTGTCAGTGGTCTGTACCTGTACTCCTAGCTTCTTGGGAGGCTGAGGCAGGGGGATCACTTGAGCCCAGGAGTTTGAGGGTGCTCTGAGCTATAACCCCATGCTCTCTACCCAGGGCAACAGAGTGAGATTCTTTCTTTCTTTTCTTTTTTCTTTTTTTAGAGAGTTGTAACCCAGCCCTCTTTCCCTACTCACTCCTGTTCCCCAGCTCTCACCTGTTCCCCCCACCACCACCCTCAGCTGTCCCCCCCCCCGCCCCTGCCCTCTCCAGTCCATTTCCCTCCTCCTCCCTTCTCCCCCCAGCTTTGACTCCAGGAACAAGGCAAGTTCCTCCTCCCCTCAGGGTGGCTAAGAACATTTCCCAGGCCCCCTTCTTCCTCCTAGGGTTGCCAAGAACAAGCTTCGGGACAAGGAAAAAAAGTCTCAAGTTTCACAAAACCCCCAAGTTCTCAGTAGATGAACAATGGTGGAAAACTCACTGAGGCTTGATTAATTACTGTTGTATAACCATAACCATTGTGATATGAAATGTGTCCATTGTCAACTGAAACTGTATTAATTATTGTTCCGTTGCTGTATCTATGACTACCTGAGTTATAACCCCTCTTAACCAGCCACGTTTCACTTCTGTAATATGCTTACACAAAGCCTATAAAAGGTAACTCACACTCTCACCTGGGCTGCTGACCATTTCTCAGAGCAGCAGCCCCTACAGCAGGTAAAATAAATTACCAATTAATAAGTGGGGGTCCGAGTCTATTTTTCCAAGTCCCCTAAGTTATTTCAAGAGAGACTCTCACTTGGTCACCCTGTGGCATCTTAGCTCACAGCAACTTCAAACTCCTGGGTTCAAGTGATTCTTTTGCCTCAGCCTCCCAGGTAGCTGGGATGACAGTAGCCTGACACTGCACCTGGCTATTTTTTAGAGATGGGGTCTTGCTCTTGCTCAGGTTGGTCTTTTTTTTTTTTTTTTTTTTTTTGAGACGGAGCCTCAAGCTATCCCCCTGGGTAGAGTGCCATGGCATCACACTCACAGCAACCTCCAACTCCTTGGCTCAAGCGAGTCTCCTGCCTCAGCCTCCTCCCAAGTAGCTGGGACTACAGGCGCCTGCCACCACGCCTGGCCATTTTTTGGTTGCAGCCATCATTGTTGTTTGGCCGGCCTGGGCTGGGGATTCAAACTCGCCACCTTAGGTGTATGTGGCTGGCGCCTTAGCCGCTTGAGCCATAGGCACCGAGCCCTCAGGTTGGTCTTAAACTCCTGAGTTCAGGCAATCCACCCGCCTTGGCCTCCCTAACGCTGGGATTACAGGTGTGAGCCACCACAATTGGCTGGAGTGAGATTCTTGTCTCAAAAACAAAACAAAACTTTTTTTTTTAATTTTTGCAGTTCTTTTTGGCCAGGGCTGGGTTTGAAGCTGCTACCCCCAGTATATGGGGCCAGCGTCCTACTCCTTGAAGCACAGATACCACCACCCCTCAAAAGAAACTGCTTTGTGCCCAGTTCCTGCTTGTGGAAAATATACCTGTCCCCATAGTTTTAGGATAATTTAGTGAGTTATATGTGAACACTTAAAACAGTTTCTGGATGGCCAGACATGATGGCTCATACCTGTAATCCCAGGGCTCTGGGAGGCCAAGGTGGGTAGATCCCCTGAGCGCAAGAGTTCAAGACCAGCATGAGCAAGAGCAAGACCTGGTCTCTACTAAAAATTATGAAATAAAATAAAATAAAAATAGGGCAGTGCCTGTGGCTCAAGGAGTAGGGGGCCAGCCCCATAAACCAGGGGTGGTGGGTTCAAGCCCAGCCTCAGCCAAAACTCAAAAAAATTAAATAAATAATAATAATAATAATAATAAAAACTAGCTGGGCGTTGTGGTGGGCATCTGTAGTTCCAATTACTTTGGGAGGCTGAAGCAAGAGGATCACTTGACCCCAAGAGTTTGAGGTGCTGGCTCAGCGTCTGTGGCTCAAGTGGCTAAGGTGCCAGCCACATACACCTAAGGTGGCAGGTTCGAATCTAGCCGGGCCAGCCAAACAAACATGATGGCTGCAACCAAAAAATAGCC